AGTTTGATGAGGTCCCATTTGTCTATTTTGGCTTTTGTTGCCAATGCTTTTGGTGTTTTAGTCATGATGTCCTTGCTTATGCCTATGTCCTGAATGGTTTTGCCTAGGTTTTCTTCTAGGGTTTTCATGGTGTTAGGTCTTATGTTTAAGTCTTTAATCCATCTGGAGTTAATTTTAGTGTAAGGTGTCAGGAAGGGGTCCAGTTTCTGCTTTCGGCACATGGCTAGCCAGTTTTCCCAACACCATTTATTAAACAGGGCCTCCTTTTCCCATTGCCTGTTTTTGTCAGGTTTGAACAAAGCATTAAAAACTCAAGTTGAGTGCCGTATATAGATGCATCTACACAACATGACCATAATAGGTTTGTTTCAGTAATATAATTGGTCCAAGATTTAAAAAGTGTCGGTATAATTTTGGTTATAAGCTGATTAAAAAGAAAAAAGTGATCATTTCAGTATGGGCAGAAAAAACATTCCATGTAAAATGCAACATTTCTCTAGAATTTTAGAAAGGCTCTTAGTGTTCTAGGAAAAATGGAACACCCTGACTAAAAAAAAATCTCAAAAATCTATTATAAACATTAATTAAGTGTTAGAAGCATTCCATTTAAAAACATGAATAGACAAAAATGGCAGGTATGGAGACTTCAAAATTGCATTGAAAATCACAGCCAAGACAATAACATAAGAAAACGGTAAAGATCAGAAAGGATAAAAGTGCCATATTACTTTTTTGCAAATACTCTTTGTAGTAAATGGAAATGAATATAAAGAAAACTCAATTGCTTTTCCGAAGAGAAAAAAAGGTTAAGAAGAAGCCTAACGGGTCATGCAAATCTTCTAATCTGTAACAATAATTAGAAGATTTCCAGATGGTTACTGAAGAATCCCTATGGAAGTGGACACAGTGAACATAATCAGGTGTAGAAAGATTCGGTAATACTGATATGTCGGTACTTCCCCAGTGATAGATTTATTGTAATTCCAATTAAGATCATAGTAGTGCTTCTTTGTAGCATCAACAGCTAATTTTAAAATTAAATTGGTAAAGCCAATGGCCAAGAAGACCATGGTAGGGTGGCTTGCTGTTTCAGTCAGCAACACTTTCTATAAAGCAAGCTTGTCCCACCTGCACTTGTGGGTGGCATGCAGCCCAGGATGACTTCAAATGTGGCCCAACACAAATTCATAGACTTTCCTAAAATATATGAGTTTTTTAATGATTTTTTTTAGCTCATCAGCTATTCTTAGTGTTAGTGTACTTTATGTGTGGTCCAAGATAATTCCTCTTCTTCCAATGTGGCCCAGGGAAGCCAAGAGATTGGATACCCCTGTTATAAAGCTTTTAGTAATTAAGACAGTAGGACAGAATAGACAGTCAAAAGAAAAAGGGCTCACATACGGAACTATCATATTTTTAAGCTGCAAGAAACATTAGTGAGAAGTGAAAACACATTCAGTAAGTGGTGCGGTGCCCACTGGCTATCATTGGGTTAAAAGTGAGTATGGATTCTGATCTCACATTGTATATGAAAATCAGTTCCAGATAGACTGGTGAGTTAAATCTGAGAGGCAAAATTTTAACTTTATAAAAATGAAAGAGAATATCTCTGTGGCATTGGGGAAGGAAAGAAATTTTTTAGTAATGTATGAAAAAATTGCAAAATTGATATAAAAATTGATATGATGACCTTAGGATTAAGAAAATATTTTCATCAGAATCCAAAATAATAAGATCGATTAAAAGCGCCACAAATAAAAAGAATACATTTGGACGTAGATCACAGTATTTGCATCCAGAAATGTAGAGAACTAACAGTAAGAAAAAAAAGAAACCCGGCTGGGCGCTTGACTCACATCTGTAATCCCAGCACTTTGGGAGGCCGAGGCAGGTGGATCACGAGGTCAAGAGATCGAGACCATCCTGGTCAACATGGTGAAACCCCGTCTCTACTAAAAATACAAAAAATTAGCTGGGCACGGTGGCGCGTGCCTGTAATCCCAGCTAGTCAGGAGGCTGAGGCAGAATTGCCTGAACCCAGGAGGTGGAGGTTGCAGTGAGCCGAGATCGCGCCATTGCACTCCAGTCTGGGTAACAAGAGCGAAACTCCGTCTCAAAAAAAAAAAACAAAAAAACAAAAACAGAATTAGTAGGACACAGACAATGACATGAGTTTCAGTGGCAAGTTTGAAAATAATTCAGCAGTTCCCGGAGCTGCCACTGGAGCTCCACTTCCACTGCAAGTTTGTGGGTTTGGGGAAAAGAAGTGTGGGGCGATTTAAAAAATCTCCATGGACAGAGGAATGGGAGGGAGGGAAGATAAATACAGAAAAGATGGGGGCATCCTGGCGCTGAGGCAGGAGGAGCCCTTGAGCCCAGGTTGAAGCTGTAGTGAGCTGTGATTCCAGCACTACAGTCCAGCCTGGGTGACAGAGTGAGACCCTGTCTCTAAAAAGAAAAAGAAAAAAGAAAAGAAAACCTCTGGAAAGAAAAACTCCAGCACCAAGTACTACGTTGTCAAATAAAACTCTGGAAACTGGAGAGTTATTAACATCAGTTACCAATCTCAGAGTGTCCGGAGATGGCTTTTTTTTTTTTTTTTTTTTAGAAAGAAGGAGGTAAGTAGGGAAAGGATAGAGGGCCCCTTCAGATGTGATAGTGACATGAAAGCAGATGCAATGAAATTAAGGATGCTCTAGGACTTAAGGAGAAACACAGCATGTCAACGCCTTCTTCCCATCACCTCCAACACAGTCATCGAAAAGACTGCACCTTCCTATAGTGATAGAAGAGTATGCTACCGAACCAGAAATTCATTTCATGAAATGCATAGGAATTAAAAGAGAGAGAGAGAGAAACCAATTTCAAATAAAGCTATGTAACAATAAAACAGAAATGTGAATCAAAACATTTCCGAAGAAAAATCTCTCAGAAAAGGAACTGAAACAGGAGGAAACAAGAATACAACATTCAAACCTGAATTAAATGGCACTCAGACATTCAAGCAAGCACTTGGAAATCTAAAAGGGCCACCTGTTATCAGAAATTAAGAAAAGAAAGGAGGGGGAGGAAGAGAAGGAGACGTGGCAGCAAACAAAGAAGCAGAAGATAAAGAAGAGGACAGTGCTTTGGGAGGCCGAGGCGGGTGGATCACGAGGTCAAAAGATCAAGACCATCCTGGTCAACAAGGTGAAGCCCTGCCTCTACTAAAAATACAAAAAATTAGTTGGGCATGGTGGCACGTGCCTGTAATCCCTGCTACTCAGGAGGCTGAGGCTGGAGAATTGCCTGAACCCAGGAGGAGGAGGTTGCGGTGAGCCGAGATCGCGCCATTGCACTCCAGCCTGGGTAACAAGAGCCAAACTCCGTCTCAAAAAAAAAAAGAAGAGGACAGTGAAGATGAAAATGAAAGAGAAATTGGGGAAGGACAGCACTGATGAGAGTTGACTAACAAAATACATTAAGATGGAATAAGTTACAATGTGTTAACGGATAATGTGCCTGTCCCAGGTTTGACAACTCTCCAGGCAACACTGAGAACGATGATATGCTTCTTGTGGAAGTATAAATTGTACATCCATTTTGGACAGCAGTTTGGCATTGTCTACTAAAACTGAAGATGTACATATGGATGCATATCATAGAGTAATTCTGTATACTCATTATGGAAATATGAATCATATATCTGTTTTGGACAGCAGTTTAGCATTAACAATTAAAATTGAAGATATTATACTCAGAATATTTCCAGCTCTTGCATAACATAATTTAGAGCAGGCATCAGCAATCCACGGCCCATTGGCCAAATCTGACCCACAATTCTAATTTTGTAAATAAAGTTTTATTGGAACACAACTATGTATATTTGTTTATATGTTGTCTATGGTGCTTGTATGCAAAATGCGAGTTGAGTAGTTGCAACAGAACCCGGAGTTGTCCCACAAAACTGAAAATATTGGCTCTCTGGCCCTTCATGGTAAAAATTTGCTGATGCCCAGTCTAGAGAAACTCTTGCGCATAGGAAGAAACATGCAGAGAATGTTCATAGTGTAAAAGTTGAAAACCTCACAAGTATTCATCACCAGCGCAACTAAACTAAATTGAAATGATTTCCAATAATAGACTGTTTACAGTAGAGAAAACAAAGGAGGTACAAATGTGTCATCAAATAAACTGCCGAGTGAAAAAAAGGAAGTGTGAACACTGTATTTCCATTTGTGCCAAGGTTAAAACATTCAAACTAAACTGTTTGTAATTTAGGGAATCATATGCATGAAATAAAATGAAGCAAGGGACCAGTTAAGTTGGTGTCACGTTTATCATTGGAGCACAGAGGGAAAAGCCATCAGAGTGGCTCCTACTAAAGGTGTCCAGGGATTGGATCATATTTTCTTTCTTTGAGTGGTGAGCCAAGGCTGTTGGCTTATAATCAACAGTTGCATGGTTTGTTTGTTTCTTTGTTGTTTAGTTTCTAAAAATTGCTTCAAATCTTAGATCAAATACTTTTATTGTCTTTTTAGCAAGAGAAACTTACCTAACACCATCTCCACAAATCATTATTATCTTCTGACTTTTTAGCATGCCTAGCATATACACTGACATGGACATTTCTCAGTGCTGATTTCTTAATTTTCTATGTACTTCTGAAAGAGTTAGCTGGATGCATTTATATACGAGTATCACACACACACTCACATATATATACAGTTACATTCCATATGCTTAGAGAATAATTATAAAGAATTGCACAAGTGACATTGCATGAGGCTTGGTGTTGCATTCCCTTGGTTAGGTTGTGGCTCTGCCTTCTACCTGCGGGGTGATCTCTGAGGGTTTCTTCATCTCAGTGCTTTTCCCCATGAAATGAGAACATGGTTATAATCATATCTACTTTTCTTTTGTGTGTGGATAAAATAATGCTTGGTGCTCATTTGTATAAAGAATATTTTCAATGCCACTTCCATTCTCAGGCACGCGCTGTCTGCCTGTCTCTGTTCCAGGTTGTACAGTTCTCCAGGTGACATTGACCTCTGGCCTGCCCTTATGGTTGAAGACCTGATTCCTGGGACGAGAGTGGGACCCACACTTATGTGCCTGTTTGTTACCCAGTTTCAACGGCTAAGAGATGGAGATAGGTGAAGGATTATCTGTTATTCTTATTAAATATTACAGAAGTTGTTTTTGACCTAAAATGTATATGTATAACATTGTGATTTATATATTTTATGATTTAATGCATGTTGAGTATAATAAATATCAGATAGCATTTGGTGACAGAACTTTTGAAACCACTGATATTATCACATATCATTCATTTTTGCAAATCTTTGTAAGAAGAGAAGAAATAGAATTTTTCAAAAGGCAGTGGAAGTTAGTGATTGAGAGGATGTAGGCTAGATGGACTACATGGCACTTGAATCTGAGTCTCACCACTTACAGCTGTTTAACTTTGGGCATGTATCCCTTGGGACCACGTTCCTCACCTGTAAAGTGCGAATAACAATTGTACCTGTTCTGTAGGATTTCTGCAACCCTCAATGATGTTGAGGAGGAAAGAACTGAGAGCAGCCTTGAGATTGTCTCCTTTCCTTTTCATGGAGGAAGACATGCTGACCCTAGACCAGCCCTCCCTGTAAAATTACATTATGGGGACATTTATGAGTGGCAAGATAATCGAGAACTCTTCTCTAAAATTTCTCGCTTTATCTAAAATATTCAGTGTAAATAAATTCCATTATGAAATTATGAAAAACAGAATGTAAGTTAGTCATGTAATCAATTTACTGTTCCAAGACTAACCAAGAATAAAAACCAAGAAACCGAAATGTAGGCAACCTCTCCTGAGGCTGCTTCTGTTCTAAGACACATACGCTCTTCTATTGCTTGGAATCACGTCTGTCCAGGGTGTGGTATCTTCTGAATCATTCGTAAAGTTTAGTGTTGAGTAAGATCTAGGAATCTTGTAAATCTGTGTAACAGTGTAACCTTTTGTATTACTGCAGAGATGGTGTATATAAGACTTGGAACAAAGCCCAGAGCTTAGTTTTTAATTAAAGTTACAATAAAAATTTTTCTTAAATTTTCCTTCAAATCTCTTCCATTTGTAAATTACAAAGAAAGTAGCAAAGGATTTAATTCCCTTTATTAATAGTATATTTGATTAAATTACTTTTTAAAATCATTTTTAACACTGAATTTCTTGACTCACATTATTGTGTTAATATGCTCAATTGGCAATAGTTTAAGAATATATGTATTCAAAGACAGAAAAAATTGAAAAAGCTTCAGTTTTGGGGGGTAAACTGTCTTCCCCACATATGTTAGCTTGCGAGGCTGTTGTAACAAAGTCCCATAGCCTGGGTAGTTTAAACAACAGAAATGTATCACCTACATCATCCATTTTACCTTAAATACCTGTCTAAAGGCCCTGTCTCCAAATTGAGTCACCTTTGAAGGTGTTGAGGCATAGGACCTCAACATAAACATTTTAGGGAGACACAGCTCAGCCCATAACATGAAGATAGTTAGTGGTAAGGAATCTTTTTGTTTACCATCTTAATTTCCTGTTCTATAACCAGCATGAAAAAGTGCTTGGCATATGGCACTCAAATATTTCCTGAATGAACAAACCCAAGGATTGACTTTACTGAACCAACTCAGGGATTGACTTTAATAGTTCTTTTATTTAAAATTTACTTATCTTTTCATCCTTTCACTTAAAATTGAATGTGCTTATTCTAGTTAGCTGATAGATATAACCAAATAGTGTCTATTAATTATCAAAAGTGCTATTTTCTTTTTAGGCAAACATGTTAATATTACATTGCTCAGACAATTTCTAAGGTTAGTTTATGGAATTTAAATGTAAAAACAGGGCTAGGTGTGGTGGCTCATGCCTGTAATCCCAGCACTTTGGGAGGCCAAAGTGGGCAGATCACTTGAGGCCAGGAGTTTGAGACGAGCCTGGCCAACATGGCGACTTCCGTCTCTACTAAGGATATAAAAATTAGCCAGGCGTGGTGATGGGCACCTGTAATCCCAGCTACTTGGGAGGCTGAGGCAGGAGAGTTGCTTGAACCCGGGAGGGGGAGGTTGCAGTGAGCTGAGATCCTGCCACTGCACTGCAACCTGAGATACAGATTGATTGAGACTCTATTATAAATAAATAAATAATTAAAATAATGGACTTTTCTTTTGGGGGGAGAAAACGTTAGAAAACTTTCCTTTGAATCATTTTGTAAAGCTTGAGTACAAAGTGATAGTTTAGAAGCATGGGATTTAAGAACGTTGTCAATATTGGAGGGAATTAAAAGGATGCTCAGTTGAAGAGCAAGCGTCATTCTTCCAATATGCTTCTTTTGTGCTGAGCCCTTCGTGGCGCTGTGGCTGTTTGACACACAGCTGAGTTCTCAGGGCACAGACCCACGACAATTTTTGCCTTTTTTCGTTGACTACCAGGTTTTGGTATGAAAACCCTGGAGTGTTTACCCCGGCCCAACTCACTCAGCTGAAGCAGGCATCCTTGGGTCGGGTGCTCTGTGACAATGGCGACAGCATTCGGCAAGTGCAGGCGGATGTCTTTGTAAAGGCAGAATACCCACACGATTACATCAGCTGCAGCGAGATCCCGAAGGTGGACCTGCGAGTGTGGCAGGACTGCTGTGCAGGTCAGTAATCACGCAACGAGCTCCAGCTGGATTTATGGGTGTGTTCGCACGCTTGAGTTGTTTTCAGTGGCAAAGATTATGCGATTTAAACAAAGATACACAAAAAGCCAACGACACAGAACTATCCATTTGAAGGGGCGGACGCCAGGAACGATAGAGGATCCCAAGCTGTCCATCCTCTTCCATTCTACACTAACCTGGTTAGAATGGGGGCACTTGCTGGCAAAACGGGCCTCTGCTTTCTTATTGCATTTCAGATTTCTGCACCAAAGATCAAATGCTGATCACTTGGTACTGATTATGCCTACTTCTTAGGGTTCATCTAACAAGAGAGAAATGAAAGTTGATAGTAACTTGGCTAACTTGGATTATTCATACTTCAGAGGCTGTTGCAGTAGGGCTCATTGGAAATACAAGGAAATTTTGATAGTATCAGGAAAAAACTTTCCCTAATGGCACAACAGAATGTGTGACATCTACAGCATCACCATTTACGAACCAAACTTTCCCTAAGGTGCTTCTAGAAGCATCTATTTTGTTCTCAATGATACTCTTTTAGAAACGTGGGTTTCTTTTTCCTTTGATGAAAGAGTGGCTTGAAAATATTAAATGACATTCTCAAAGCCCAGAGATGAGTTAAGTGGTGGAGCCAAGGCCAGAGAAAAGATGTATTGTTTGTTGAAACACAGAGGCAAACTGAGGACTTGATGGTTCTGGAGCGGAACATGCTGATGTCTTCACAGGCGAGCAGGTGTCTGTCACGTGGAGGATACTTGCAGCTCCTCTGAATGCCAATGGGATAAGGGCCACCATAGCCTCATGCCTGCTCCATGTAGTGGCCGTGGGCCTGGGAGTTCTGATGTTCTCTAGGACTGAAATGATCGTTCTAAGTACCTAAGTAGTACTAGAGATTTGTGGTCAGGGGAGGAAATTGAAAGGCACTGCTAGAAATATGATAGAACACCATCCAGGTATGGTGGCTCATGCCTGTAATTTCAGCATTTTAGGAGGCCAAGATGGGTGGATTGCTTGAGGTCAGGAGTTCAAGACCAACCTGACCAACATGGCAAAACCTCGTCTCTACTAAAAATACAAAAATTAACCAAGAGTGGTGGCAGGCTCCTGTACACCTAGCTACATGGTAGGCTGAGGCAGGAGAATCACTTGAACCCGGGAGGGGGAGGTTGCGGACAGCCCAGATTGTGCCATTGCACTCCAGCCTCGGTGACAGAGTGAGGCTCGATGGCATCTGAGTCACGGTTGCCTTTTTCGCTGTGGTGGTGGTTTATCGGATGCAGCAAAATCCCCGGTACTGTGGGGAGGGTGGTGTAAGGGCAGCCGAGAGAAAGGAGAATAGACCCAAAGTCAGGCAAGCACGTTGTATTAACCTGCCAGGCTTCTCTGTAACGGTCAGAGGAGGCAGCCCCGAGCTTACGAAACGAGGGATGTTTATGGGGTGAAGGGGCATAGGGGGTTTTAGGTCTGAAATAATCTGTGGGCTGGTAACAGGCACCGAGATAGTTTGTTAGCTTGTAACAGACCTGCAGTACATCATCCTGTGACATTTGTGGCGGCAGACTTTTATAAAAAGAAAGAAACCAGGAGTTTTCTAAATAGATGTGTGTCAAACAGGAATTTACAAGTGTGGAGGCCGTGGTGACCAGAACAGCGCCCTGCAAGGAAGCAGTGGATCTGTGTAGAGGCAAAGGCGGGGTGCCCCTTACACTGACACTTACCATTTCTGGCTCTTTTCTCCTCTGGCCATGTGATAGGTGATTCATGGAAACACCTAGCTCATAATTGTCCTGAGCCTTTCAAGGTGGGTGTTATTATCCCTGATTTACATATGAGGAATATGAGGCTCCAAGAAACTAAATCTGTTTTCTTTTCTTTTTTTTTTTTTTGAGATGGAGTCTTGCCCTGTCGCTCAGGCTGGAGTACAGTGGCATGATCTCAGCTCACTGCAATCTCTGCCTCCTGGGTTCAAGCAATTCTCTTGCCTCAGCCTCCTGAGTAGCTGGGACTACAGGTGTGCGTCATCACGCTCAGCTAATTTTTTTGTATTTTTGGTAGAGACGGGGTTTCACCATGTTGGTCAGGATGGTCTCGATCTCCTGACTGATCCGCTTGCCTCGGCCTCCCAAAGTGCTGGGATTGCAGGTGTGAGCCACCATGGCTGGCCCCTAAATCCATTTTCTAAGGTCTCACAGCTGACCTGAAGGCCTTGGCTCTTTGCTCTGTGCCCACTGCCACCTGGCACAGAGACAGTGAGCAGGCACCCACCACAGGCGGTTCCTCTGCTGCCCTCCCCTCATTGCCATTGTTCCACACTGAGGACAGGAGGAGGGCTTCTCTGGTTGTTTAAATGGTAATGCACCTGCTGTGGACAATGTTATGGAAAATGCATGGCAAGGATGTAACAGACCAGGGGTGAGTTGGGGTCCTGAGCTTGTGCAGTGTTCTTACTAAGATCTGCCATCCTAATCAATAATAAAAATACTGTCTCTCTGAGAGTGTCTTAAAGAAAACTCTGCAAATAAATAAGCCAGTAGCCAACATCTACTACATAACTGGGTAGAAAATACAGTGATTTTGTTTACGGCACTATAAAAATGCTCAGAAATCATGTCAGTAGCAAAATTACCTAAGGAAATGAATATGCCTGGCATAGTTCCAATCATAATGTAATGTTTGTAATGAGAACCATTACGAAAGGATGCACATTTTATTTTTCCAGGTACTTTTTGACTACCAAGCATGGATTTTTCAGAAAAATTAAAAGACAGTTTAAAATGAGTAGCTTAAAAATAAAGACGTTTAGTAACTGCTCCAAAGTGGACCACTTTCTTACTGTGTGGGCTCCTTCCAGTTTCCAGTTAATGGCAACATTGCTGTATGTAGATGAGGGGCCTCCTGAAACTGTCAGATCTCTGAGGAACTCGTTTCTAGACTGTGGTTATGTAGTTTCAGGTAGGTTACACATTTTAACGGTCTGAGTTAGTTAAAGGAGTTGGGAAGTGCTGGCATCGACCACGTTGAGACCATCCCTGACACCGGAAGTTGTGAATTTCCCAGACAGAAAAGGCATATTAAAAGACCTGGAAACAATGTCACTCCTCAGTCCACTTGTCTTTGTCATGTGTTCATTCATGTTGTATTAATAGATTTCTCCCCTCTCCTTTGCTGATCTCACTCAGATTAAAATAAACGATCGTGTTAAAATTACTTATTTATTTTTCTTTCTTTTTGTTTATTTATTATTTTTTTTGAAATGCAGCCTTGATCTGTTGCCTAGCCTAGAGTGTAGTGGCACGATTTCAGTTCACTGCAACCTCCGCCTCCCGGGTTCAGGTGATCTCCTGCCTCAGCCTCCCAAGTAGCTGGGATTATAGGCCCGCGCCACTACACCCGACTAATTTTTGTATTTTTAATAGAGACAGGATTTCACTACATTGGCCAGGCTGGCCTCAAACTCCTGACCTCAAGTGATCCACCTGCCTCGAACCCCCAAAGTGCTGGGATTACAGGCGTGAGCCACAGCACCCAGCCAACTCAATTATTTTAAGTGGCATTATCCTAGAGAAAAATACAGATCTCTGTGTGGGATGTAAATGGCCACTCCAAGCAGTCCTAATGGTTCATTTTGTTAGAATGAAATACATGATTAAACTGATTTTCAGCTCTTTATGTTACTTTTATAAAATAATTTTATTTTCAACAGGGCTATTTTTTTTCAGTTTTGTTTCCCATGAATAATAGCCTACAGGTTAATACTGATGTCAACATCTTCAAATTTTCACTACAAATTTTTAAAATCCTGGGAAAACTCTTCTCCTAAATTCATAAACATATCGAAACGGACTCCAATCTGTTTAAACAGTGCTGATATAAATGCAGTCAAGATTTGCACTGTTATGTCTTGTTACTGTTTGTAGGTAGGAAGCGCGAGGTCTAAATAATGAAGCTGGGATTTGTGTCACTCAGCTGAAAGGCTGTAGGTCTTGTGGATGATCATACTGGAGAAACTCGGGTGTTAAGGACTTGGTTCGCATTTTTCGTGTCACTCATTGTGTTCAATGAAGAATTTTGTTATCCACTCTTTTTCACTGATGAATTTCAGTTTCTCTTCACAGAAACTAGAGACTTTTTTTTTTTGAGACACAGTCTCTCTCTGTTGCCCAAGCTGCAGTGCAGTGGCGCGGTCTCAGCAACCTCTGCCTCCCGGTTCAAGCCATCCTCCTGCCTCTGCTTCCTGCGTAGCTGGGATTACAGGTGACTGCCACCACACCCAGCTAATTTTTTGTATTTTTAATATTTTTAGTAGAGACAAGGTTTCACCATGTTGGCCAAGCTGGTCTCAAACTCCTGACCTCAAATGATCTGCCCACCTCAGCCTCCCAAAGTGCTGGGGTTACAGGCATAAGCCACCATGCTCAGCCAAATACTAGAGAGTATTCTAAAACAGCATGGTAATTTTGTTTTTCTTTTTTCTTTGAACTAATTTCATTGTCATTCATGTTTTTTTTCATACCTTGTATAAATTTCCTGACATCATTCTATGTATCTGCTATGTAAGTAACTCCTTTAAAATATTGCTTAGTGCTTAATGGATAGAATTGTATATAACAACATTTACACAACCATAATTTGCGTATCAGGGATCATATTTCCACAGTCTAGGTTCTTATAGAATTCCCAAAGCAAACTTGCTGAGGTACAGCATATAAGTTTTTTAATGAAAAAAATGTTGTCAGATTCATTTCTAAAAGAGACACTGGGAAATTCTACAAACAATATATTAATACCCACTTTACTTCCCCAGCAGCAACTGGTGATATAGTCCTTGTTTTTTTGATAGTTGAATGAGTTAAAAACTTAATTATCGCATTCATTTTAATTTGCATTTCTCTGTTAGTATGTTTTAACCACCGTTTCCATGGTTGTTGGTTGGGGATTGGCTCTGTGCATGTGTGTTCACAGTTTTTGTCCTTTAATCAATC